GGTATCCTGACTAGTTCCATCTGAAACAGTGACCTCAAATCCTGCTTTGGCCTCACCCTTATAGCACCTACTTCTTGGGTAACAGAACCCAGTGCGGGAGTGCCTTTGATGGGGAGCACCTGTTATCACAGCCTCCCTTTCTAGGCCTTCCCCCTCTTGCCTGCAAGATTAAATTGCAGCCAAAGCCAGCAGTAGTTGCTTAGCCCAAGTCTCCCAGATCCTTTGGACACAGATGCCCTGGACTTGGACTTCCAAGATTCCCCATCATATGGTAAAGCTTGTCTCCCAGTAGTGATTCTGTTTATCTGCCTTGTAGCCTAACTCTAAGTTTGCCTCCTATTCACCCTCTGTTGTTGTTGTTGTTAGGTGCTGTCAAATCATGTCCGACTCATAGCAACACTATGCACAGCAGAATGAAACACCACCCAGTCCTGCGCCAGCTCCATGATCCTTGCTATACTTGAGCCCATTGTTGTAGCCACTGTGTCAATCCATCTCATTGAGGGCCTTCCCTTCTTTCACTGACCTTTCACTTTACCAAGCATGACATCGTTCTCCAGGGAATGGTCCCTTCTGACAACATAACCAAAGTAGGTGAGACGAAGTCTGGCCATTCTCACTTCCAAGGAGTATTCTGGCTGTACTTCCTCCAGGACAGATCTGTTAGTTCTTTTAGCAGTCCACGGTACTTTCAGCATTCTTCACCAGCACCACAACTCAAGAGCATCAATTCTTCTTCAGTCTTCCTTATTCATTGTCCAGCTCTCACATGCATACGAGGCGATTGAAAATATCATGGCTTGTGTCAGGCGCACCTTAGTCCTCAAGGAGACATCCTAGATGAAAAGAGGTCCCTTGCAGCCAATATACCCAGTGCTATACATCGTCTGATGTCCTGACTGCTGCTTCCATTGGCATCGATTGTAGAACCAAGCAATGTGAAGTCTTTGAGAACTTCAATCTTTTCTCCATTTATTGTGATGCTGCTTATAGGTCCAGTTGTGAGGATTTTTGTTTTCTTTATATCGAAATGTAATCCATACTGCAGACTGTATTCTTCAATCTTCATCAGTAAGTGTCTCAAGTCATCCTCACTTTCAGCAAGCAAAGTTGTGTCGTCAGTGTATCGCAGGTTAATGATTTTTCTTCCATTCTTGATTCCACATTCTTCTTCATATAGTCCAGCTTCTCAGATTATTTGCTTGGCATGCAGATTGAATAAATATGGGGAAAGGATACAATGCTGATGCACTCCCTTTTTGATTTTAAACCATACAGAGTCCCCTTGTTCTGTTAACCTCCTGGTCAATGTACAGGTTCCTCATGAGCACAATCAACTATTCTGGAATTCCCATTCTTCTCAGTGTCATCCACAATGTGTTATGATTTGCACAATCAAATTCACCCTCTAATTCATGCTTAATTTCATTGATCTTTACTTGCATGGGGCTTAGATAATTTTTAAAAATAAATAAATATGATCTTACTAAACCTACATGTTTACCCATGTTAATGAGTTATTGACTTAAATCAATGCATTCCAGAAGAAGTAAGCAACACTCTTGCAGCTTCTTTGAACAACCAAGCTGTCACTGTTTGGCCAAGTGGAGATGAGGGTTTTCTTCAAATATATGACTCTATGGAAATATTTTCTCTATCCCTACTATTGTTGTTTCAATGCATAAAATCCCCAATTAAATGCTAACAAACAACAAAAGCATACCCATCTAGGATTCCTATTTATCATACAGGCCCCTGTGTTACAATGATTCCCTTTCAGTCTTTTTTATAAAGGTGAGGAGGATAATTCCACTCTCTTTTAAATTGCTGTTGGATTAAATTCATGTTCTACATTGAACAAGTGGCATAAACTTGGGAGTTTTATTTAAAAATCCAAAATAATTGAGAGCATAACTTAGTCACTTGGCCTCCAAATTTGCCAAACTGAGAGTTTTAAGAATGAGGGGGAGTGATAAGGTGGAAAGTTTCTCTTGTCATTCTTTTAAGTCTGAAACAAGATCTTCTAGCTTTCATATTTCTGAGTGTTCTGTGAAGATAATTATCATCAAAAGAGTTTAATGAGTGCTGTCCAAGAATGGCAATGTGATAAGTAAGAACCTTATCAGGCTTACTAACCACAAATGAAGCTTTCCTGAGTTTATCCAGCTGCCAAGTGACAGACATGTACACTGTTGAACTAGCAAGAGAATAAGGGTGGGTCTTTTAATATATGTTCCCCTAACATGCTATACTTCTACTGTCAAAGCCTCACATAACATCATCACACTTATTTGCATAACATCCAAAATTCCTTATAGACTATAACCTTTGGGAGAGTAGACCTTGTCTGCCTTTGACCACAGCTATATCTACCAGGGCCTAGCACAGTGACTGACATACAGTAGTCACTCAATGAATGGACATTAAATAGATAGATGGATGGAAGAAACTAATTATGATCATACCATGTTGTATTCAATTTGCAAAAAAAAACATAGTAGGAGTAGCATGTTGGAACAATGTGGGATTATTGAGAAGTTTCTGTCCCTCCAGTTATGTTGAAGAAAGCCTTACGTGATTTAAAAGGTAATGACCACATTTTTTCTAAGTAAATTCCTTTTCTACCAATCATCCAGTTATTGTCAAGTTGATCCCAACTCATGACAAACCCAGGTGTGCAGAGTACAACTGAAACCCACAGGGTTTTCAATGCCTAATTTTTTGAAAGTAGACTGCCAGGGCTTTCTTCCAAGGCACTTTGGGTGGACTTGAACCATCAGCCTTTCAGTTAGCAGCCAAGTGTGTTAAGCCTTTGTACCAACCAGGGACTCCAAATTCCTTTTTACCAGTCCTTTATTAAGTGAACTTTCATTACTTTGATTTTTGTTCTAATTTCATTCTAGGCTTTGTTCCTAGTTTAATATATATTGTTTGTTGTTTTTGTTGGTATGATATCCTCGAATCTGTGGCAGTGGAATATTCATAAATTTTACCTAGAGAAACCTTGCCATTGTCATACTTATCCATGGCAATCGGATTCCTAGGGCATTTCAAATTCTTCACATTTGTCTGTCCTTGCATGGCTCATCCGCCTATGTGTATCAACCCATATAACCCTCCAGGTTGAACTGATGTCATGTCCCACAACCCTCTTGCCACTGAAAAGTTCAACATAGAATTTCAGTTGTGACAACAACTCTTATTGAAAGATGATAAGATGAAAGGGGTATTTTTCTAATGAGTTTTATTAAGACTCTTACTCTATCTGCCCTGTTTTGAACTAGAGTATTGCGGTGTAGTAAATTACTTAGTGTGGCTTTTCTACCGATAAGTCTTTGTAAACTCCAAGGTGGGAATTGCTATTAGCAACTGAGGAGATCCTGATTGCCCACCTGGAGTATTTCTGTTGGGAGTGGCACAAAACAATGTTCTGGGAGGTTCCCACTCTCTCTCAGGTGCTTAGAGTTCTGATGCTATGATTGGCTAGTTTGACCACCCTGCCAGACTCAAAAGGAGGCCTCCTAGAGGCAGAACTCTCTCTGACTGCTGGTTGAGGAAGACGTGATGCTGAAAGAGACACGCACCCCTGAAAGAGACACGTGCTGCTCGGAAAGAGGCGCAAGAGGCACGCATTGCTGAGTGAGACACCGAGGGACCAGCACTGCTGGGAAAGAGACTGTGAGAGACAGTTGGCTGAGGGACGGTGGGCTGGGAGAGAGACTGAGCATTTTTCCTGAACTTGAATTGTAGCCTGTGGTGCTTCCCTAATAAACCCCATAATCTGAGAGCTCTGTGTGGCCACTGCAGCGAATTATCGAACCCAGGAGAGAGGTGGTGGGTGCTTTGGGAGGAACGGTTGGAGAAAGGGCTGGGGGGAGGCAGCATGTCTGGCCTTGCAGTAATAGGCGTTGGGCTATTGATAGTGATTCTGCCTTCCTCTTGTGGGATCAGAGGAGGTCAGGACATGTGGCCACCCTGCCGTTTTCGCAAGTATGATAGGGAAGCATTTATCAGATGATTAACAAGTAGTACACCCAGTTTTCCATGTCTTGGGTTGAAGAATGGACAGACACAAACCTTCAGAAGATATAGCTCCTTGGGGCTTTTGAGAGGCTGGGTTAGAATGTAGAATCTTCTGTGTGAGATGAGAGCTGTTCGCTCCACCTCCCCTCCAGCTCCCACCCCCACCTGCTTTGACCGCTCTTGCCTTGCTTCCAGAGTAGAGCACAACTCTGCTGCTTGACTGTTCTCTTGTCATGTTTACATTGAAACCATCAACTATGAGAATGTGAGTTGACTTGGAAGGGACAGTACTGCCGCCAAGTCATGACTGCACTTGGCTCAGCACAGCTCTGGAGCTGACTGGCTAGAAACTGGGCCACGACCTGTGTGACATCCAGAGACTACGTATTCCCTGGTGCAAAGTGGAGGTCCCTGGGCTCCTACTTTCTCAAATGCTCATAATTGAAGAAAAAAGTACTGAACTGCATGGATAGGGCTGAATCTGTTCTCCATTATGTATAAATGACTTCACTATGAAATTTAAATCCAAGAGGTATAGTGAAATGAAACTTACATCTCTATTATTAATGACCAGTTTTCCTAGACTGTGGAGGTGCTCTGCTACATCCATCTACTCAGAGGATTATGGTTTCTGAATTAATAATTCTAAAAGCCCAGAAATCAGAAAGTAAGAAGATTTAGTTTACATGAGGATTTCTCTTTTCTCACAGGTGCAAGTTCTACCCATGATGATATCATATCCTTGCTTTGAAGGGAATAAACCTTTAAAAATAAATATGTCACTGTCCCAGTTACAAAAATGGATTTTTTAAAACCCCAAGCAGATGATAACCACAAATTGTGGATAGAAACTCAGAGGAGTGTTTTAAAATAAAAGTTGTATGCCCACAAATAGCCTAACTGTAAAAGAAACTGCATTCTTGTGCTCAGAAGCAGGTGTCTTACTAAAATTATTTCTGTTATCCATTCTGTCACAGTGGAGATGTCATTGCCTTTGAAAGATCTGCTAATTATAACAGCATCATCAAACAAGAAGGAACAGTGAGTGTTGAATAAAATAGACTTACTGTGACAGTCCTAGCAATATTCAGTAATTGCTTAATTAGATGAAGCTATTTTCCTGTGTGTACTGTTCTTGTTATGTGTACTCCTCAAGTATTCACCCACATGACCACTACTGCTGGGTGTCCATGGTATAACTCACAGTCTGCTGGGACAGACATGGTTCCTGTCTGTCTTCAAGAGGTTTAAATTTGTATTGCATATTAGCTGTTTAACTGTGTTTCTTTAACTGTAATTTTAAAAGGATGTATATGTTGTTAACAAATTGATCTGAAAACATCTCTATATCACAGTTAAAGCTCTTTGAAATAGAACACCAGAACTATTAATAGCTAAGTCTATGACACCACAAGTTGAATTTTACTTTAGTTGGCTGAGATGACAAGATAGGATTTTGATACGGTCTTATTAGCAAGTGTTATTGAATGGACAATCTTTTAAAAACCTATTTTGTGACTACGACTCTGGAGAGCTGAATGAAGTATGAAAGAAAAATAAAAACAAATAAAAAATCATACTCCCTACCCTGATGATGTCATTGTTAAAGTACTCAACTGATAATTGAAAGGTGGCTAGCTCGAACCCATTAGTGGCTTAGTGGGAGAAAAGACCTGGCAATCTTCTCCAGTAAAGATTGTTGTTGTTGTTGTTGTTAGGTGCTATCCAGTCAGCTCTGACTCATGGTGACTCTGTGAACAACAGAAGGAAACAAGGCCTAGTCCTGCGCCATCCTCACTATCTTTGCTATGCTTGAGCCCATCCTCACAGTTACCGTGTCAATCCATCTCGTTGAGGGTCTTCCCCTTCTTTGCTGATCCTCTACTTTATCCAGCATGATTTCCTTCCTTCTCCAGGGACTGGTCCCTTCTGACAACATGATCAAAGTAGCTGAAACAAAGACTGGCTTTTCTGACTTCTAAGGAGCATTCCAGCCGTACTTCTTTCAGGACAGATTTGTTCATTCTTCTGGCAATCCACCATATTTTCAGTATTCTTCACCAACATCACAATTGAAATGCATCAACTCTTCTTCCTTCATCCTTATTCACTGTCCAACTTTCACATGCAAATGAGGCTATTGAAAACACATGCATACGAGGCTACTGAAAAAAGTGACATCTTTTTTTTTTTTTTTTAACACTTTAAAGAGGTCTTTTGCAACACATTTGCCTGATGCAATACATCTTCTCATTTCTTGACTGCTGCTTCCATGGGCATTGATTGTGGATCCAAGTAAAATGAATTCCTGACAACTTCAATATTTTTTCTAGTTTTCATGATGTTATCTACCAGTCCAGTTGTGAGGATTTTCATTTTCTTTATGTTGAGATATAGCCCATATTGAAGATTTTAGACTTTGATCTTCAGTAAGTACTTCAAGTATTCTCCACTTTCAGCAAGCAAAGCTACATCATCTGCATATTGCAAGTTGTTAACGAGTCTTCCTCCAACCCTGATGCCTTGTTCTTCATATAGTCCAACTTCTCGGGTTATTTGCTCAGCATACAGATTGAATAAGTATGGTGAAAGGATACAACCCTGATGCATGCACACTTTTCCTGATTTAAAATCATGTAGTATCCCCTTGTTCTATTCGAATAACAGCCTCTTTCTTGGTCCACGTACAGGTTCATCATGAACACAATTAAGTTTTCTGGAATTCCCATTCTTTGCAATGTTATCCATAATTGTTATGATCCACACAGTCAAATGCCTTTGCATAGTCAATAAAACACAGGTAAAAATCTTTCTGGTATTCCTTGCTTTCAGCCAGGATCCAGCTGACATCAGTAATGATATCCCTCATTCCACTTCCTCTTCTGAATCTGGTTTGAATTTCTGGTAGTTTCCTATCAATGTACTGCTGCAACCATTTTTTAATTATCTTTAGCAAAATTTTACTTGCATGCGATAAGGATATTGTTTGATACTTTCCACATTCTTTTGGATCACTTTTCTTTGGAATGGGCACAAATATGGATCTCTTTCAGTCGGTTATCCAGGTAGCCATCTTCCAAATTTCTTGGCATAAACGAATGAGTGCTTCCAGTGCTGCATGCATTTGTTGAAACATTTCAATGGGTATTGTCAATTCTTGGAACCTTGCGTAAACTTGAATAATACTAATATTAACTGGTCTTTCTTGTAGGCATATGGATATTATCCTATCACTGACATCACTGTATTCCAGGATAGATCCTGAAACATTCTTTTTAACAATGAATGTGACACAATTCCTCTTCAATTGTCATTCCTGGCATATTAGATCATATTATTTTCTGATTCAAAATAGCCAATACCTGTCTATTTCCACTCACTATGCCTAGGATATTGATCTTTATCTGTTCCATTTCATTTTCTATAACTTCAAATTTTACTAGAATTTTTGTACATTCCATATTCCAATTATTAATGAATGTTTGTAGCTGATTCTTCCAATTTTGAGTCATGCCCCATCACCAAATGAAGGTCCCAGAATCCATGTCATTAAGGTCACCTCTACTTTGAGGAAGCAGCTCTTCCCCAGTCATATTTTGAGTGCCTTCTAACCTGAAGGGCTCACCTTCCAGCACTATATCAGACAATATTTCTTTGCTATTCATAAGGTTTCCAGTAGCCTATTTTTTCAGAAGTAGATGGTCCCATCCTTCTTCTCAGTTTGTCTTCATCTGGAGGGTGTAGCCTGCATTCAAGCTGGGAGGGTTAATGAATATATGGGCAGTGAAGGGCTGAGGGTGAAGGTGTTGGAGAACAGCTGACTCTGGGTAAGATAGGTAGAGGTCCAGATCATGGACAGCTGATCAATGTCAGCCTGAAGAATTTGGATTCTACCCAAGAGATGGTAGGACACCATCAAGGTGGTAGGACATTCTTCAGAAGCAGAATGACAGGATACATTTGCTTTGGGGCCAATTCTAAGAGCAGTGTCCTCAAGGATACAGGAAGGACAAAAGACATCCAGGAGTACTGATGTAGTAACTCAGGTGAGGCAGATGGTACCTGGATGTGCATGGTGATGGCAGCATTGTGTCCCTCATCATATCCCCAGAAGCTGGCACATAGTGGATACAACAAAATAAACATTTGTTGAATAAATGAATGATAACAATTCTAATGATATTTCTTGGGTTCCCTGAAAATCCCCAACTGTGTTTAATGGTATCTGGAAAATCTAAAAGAAGGCCCTGGGGGTGCAAACACTTGATTACTAACTGAAAATTCAGTGACTCAAACCCACCCAGAGGCACCTTGGAAGAAAGGTCTGACAGTCTACTTCCAAATGGTCATAGCCTTGAAAATCCTACATTCAGAAGACAGTTCTGCTCTGCACACCACTGGGTCACAATTAACATCAACTCAACAGCAATTGGTTTGGTGTTTTCTTTTGTTTTGTTTGTATTCTAAATAGAATTTCTCACTATCTTCTTGCTTTTCTCCTAAATTATTTTCCCCAAACCAGAAACCCTCTGACTTGTTTTGCCACTTAATAAATATCTTCCCCTCCTGTAGAATGGCACTGAGATTTCTGATACAACTAACAGTCTTTACACATACAGTCATGTGACCCAGACAGGATTTGGTTTTATTTCAAGTAGGGAAGAACTATATGGACAAGAGTTGTAGAAATGCATTTGTGACATTAAATTGCTTATAGATAAAATCTTTATTGTACTTTACTATATAGTATGGGATATTGGTGGTGCAGTCGTAAAATTCTCACCTTCCATTCAGGAGAGCCAAGTTCAATTCCCAGACAATGCACCACATAAGATATAATTATGTATCTGTCAGAGGTGATTTACATGTTGCTATGATGTTGAACAGGTTTCAGCAGAGCCTCCAGACTAAGATGGACTAGGAAGAAAGGCCTGGTGAACTACTTCTGAAAATCAGCCAGTGAAACCCCTGTGGACCACAAGGATTTGATCTGCAACCAATCATGGGGATAGTGCAGGACAAGGCAGTATTTCATTGCATTGTGAGTGGGCTTGCCATGAGTCAGAGAATAACTCAACAACAGCTAACATCAACAACAATACAGTATTTATAATATAACACAAGAGTGATATGTTTGGATAATATATTAAATCTTAACTCCTACCTAATGACCATAGTTTATAGAATTATAGAGTGGAGGAGAGTCTTCATCATTTAGAATGAAATATGGAGGGACAGTTGCTGGATCCAGAGCTGTGTCCAGAGCTGCAGATAAAAGGTCACACATAAGATTAACTTACAATAGCAATGTAATTATTACATAGTTTATATGCAATACAATACATTTTATTTTAAAGAAATAATTCTTTGTGTAAATGATTTCTAGTTTTAAAACTATTCAATGATAAAGACAGACCCATTTGGATCCCCTTTGTCTGAATTCGGGAGATGTCCATTTTGGGAGCAAGAACTGGCAAAGAAAGACTTCTATAAAATGATAGGTTTGCATACATGGGGAGATTAGCTTTTCATGCCACATGATCCTTAAAGCATTATTTTGCTTTTGGTCATGATTGTGCAAGATGGAGAAGTTGTTATCTTCTTCCAGACCTACAAAAACCAACATTGCTTCCTAGGTTTCGTGGTGGTAAGAAAATTCAGGTGTTCTGCTCATGTCCTATAGAAAGACTCCATTCGAGGCCCTTTTCTAGAGTGTGAGCCTCTCTATCACAGAGAAGGGAACAGATACATGAATTTTTTTTCTAGATACTGGGGCTGGAGAATATGAGGGAGAAAATTGGGGTTGATAATTTAGAAAGAAAGGTGTCAAACTCATTGGCTTTGTAGTGAGTGGATCAGACTCAAAGTATATGAGTTATGATTTTGAAATTAAAGCTACATAAATCACAGGCCAATAAGGTGTACATTGGTCCATATAACTAAAATCATGTGGCCCAAGTGAAGAGTTCAACTATTATCATGCCGGGATTGTAAAAGAGCAGCTTCTGAGGACTTCAGAAAGATCTTTGAGGATCACTTAATTCTTCAAATGTCCCACAAGCTGAATGATTTTTCATATCCTTCCTAGATGGCCTTTCTTGCTGATGACTACTGTAACTATTGTCAAGATATTTTGCAAAATGTGAGGAATCAAGAACTTCCAAGGATAAAGTTTATCCATAAAATATAATTGTGACTTACACTTAATGATTTTTCTTTAATAGACCATTCCAGAAGTGACTAGTGACAATCCTGCAGTGAAATACTTATAATGTAGTAATTTTGTAATGGTCTTGAAGGTGATACTGCTATTCCAGTTTAATAACTTGGAAATTTTCTAACCTGTCAACATTCATAACTTATGTTTTAGAGATACAGAAAATTTTTAGAACAGAATCCCAGCTGTTTTTGAGTAAAGTTTGTTAGTATTATTTACCCTGGAATTTTCAATAGTGCATAAGAGCCATTTTATTTGTACATGCTAACTGAAAAAGAGGCAGGGCTTTAAGGCAGTGGTCTGACTTGAATATTGTAATGATTGGGTTTTACTCCAGAATTGACCATGGTAAACATGAATAAATCTTTTAACAATTCTGAATTTTATCTTCCATAATATTAAACAAAAATCCAGGAAACAGGTGCACATTTAAGTGAAACATTTTCCAATGTTTTAATGTTGTAAACAATTCAACTTTTGGTGACATATTCATTCAGCATGAGCACATTTAGTACATTCAGTGCAAAGTGCAAAGTATTGTGATGAAAAAGAGATGGAGATGTATTCAGAATGGCCCCTACCATTTAAATGGAATGTTACAAATATCCATCCACATTGGCTATATGACATATTCCCATCTTCACTTATTCATAAATATTTACTTAATTCCTACCCTATAACTGAAACTATTTCTGAAACTAGGAAGATATTGTCCACAAACCTTGAGAAGCTTATAGACTGGTAATAAAAAGAGCATTACAATCCCATAAATATGACACACCATATGGCAAGTTCTAAAACAGTGGTACAGTTAGAATATTATGGATGCTCAGAGGAAGAGTAACAGAGAAGGCTGGAGAGTGCTTCCAAAAGAGGCCATGCTGCTGCTGTCTCTAGTAAGAAAAGCAGAGATTCAATACATAGAATATGGGGTAGGAAAAGATTCCAGGTAGAAACACTTTTGTAGGCAAAAGCACAAGATGATCATAACCATGGCATGACAAAAAGTCACTATGGTTAGACTAATTATCTCTAAAGAAAAGAAGCAAGAGGTGACGTGGGAAAGTAGGCTGGTGCTAGAAAGGTCCTCTTACACCCTGTGAGGAATTCTGATTTATTTACAAGACAGTATGGGGACATTGACATGAGGTGGTCCATATTGTGCTTGCTTCACCAGCACATATACTGAAATGAGAATGATACAGGGAATATTACTATTTTTCAGAAAGAGATAATGCATTGGAAGGGCAAAGAAGTAGAATTGATCAATGGAAAACAGTTAATGAAATTGAAGACAAGTCTCTTAATACTAACCTATTAGAGGAACAATCAGAAAAAAAAGAATGAAAAATTTTAAGAAAGCCTAAGAATTATTGGAGACACATCAAGAGTAATAACTTATGTGTGACTGGAATTTCAGAACAGGAAGAAACAACAACAACAA